AAAGAGGCACCTGGAAGAGACAAAAACCTCTAAAGTCACTAATGACCAGGAGCTGTTACCAGCCAGTGGTTGGTTTTTGGCCAATACCAATGAGTTAACAGGCTCCATTTTTCCTAATGGAGAGGCATTCACATCGGTCAGTAACATCCAACACAGGTGTCACTCACACGCTCCCTTGTTATAAGTCTCAGGCAGACACAACCTGGAAACAAAACTAACCTCTCAGCCCACGACATGGTTCTGCAGGTCAGTGGCGAGGAACATTAGCAGAGCAGGAAGTGACACAAGCCCCGCCTCATTACTGTATGAAAATTGGCTTATGGATACGAATATGCATAACTCAAAGATGCTTTCTGCAAAACACATCATGTAACACAGCAATTTTACAGTTACAGTCTGCTGAATCTGTATATCCTATTGTTGTGCATATCTTATTCTTGCATGTGAAGTGAGAAATACGAGGTGTGGATCTGTTTATAATTCTAAATGTGCTATTCAGAGCCATTACTGATGTTCCAGTACGTAATGACTGAGTACTCAAACCAAAGGCCTATGAATGGTTGAATTTGTCCTATAAACAGAAAAAGTGATTGGTCCTAGAAAGACATATGACCATGCCACCTCCACATTTTACGTGGGTTCCTAGTACTGGAATCCACCTTAAATCTGGAATTTTTCCATGGAGATGCAGCGTGCCAAACAAAAGGTTCCCACCTTGGGGATTGACTATTTTAGCAATGAGAAGCAAAAGCCTTTGTCTTCAGCTAGCCTTTGAAACTGCCTGGCAGACGCTAAGAGGATACTTAACAACAAAAAAACTCTGAAAAGGCTGTAGCTTCAAATCAAAGTAAAGATCAGCTCTGACTTGTTTTCACCTAAGAACAGCTGTTTAGGGTAAGAATTTGTATGTAACAAGTTTCTTAGTGGATTAGAACTAGCTGGCATTTTTGTTCATTTCAATTCAGTAACTTATGTTGATCTGTAATAGAGATGTAGCCGTGTTAGTCTGGTCTAGCTGAAACGAAAGACAGAGCTATGCAGCACTTTAAAGACTAACAAGATGGTTTATTAGGTGATGAGCTAGTGGGTCTGGCCCACGAAAGCTCATCACCTAATAAACCATCTTGTTAGTCTTCAAAGTGCTGCATAGTCCTGTCTTTTGTTTATGTTGATCTGTCTGTTTGCAACCACCTAAATCTTATTCTTTATATGTAATAAAAACACTTTTGTCTATTACCAAGCCCAGCGTAAATAATTGTTATGCCAGGGGGTGGGAGGAGGCAGTTTGCATTTCTCTGTGCAACCACTGCGCATCTTTCTCTTTCATTGAGAAAGGGGGTTGACCTGTAAATGTTTTACACATAGTAAGATGTATTTATTTGGGATTTTGGTTCCTCTTGGGGGTTGGTTTCCTGCAAGGTTCAGGTAAGTGAGCCGTCTTCTCCCTGGAACTTTGATCTTCTTTCTTTTGCTCTTGACATGCCATCCTGAGTGTGGTATGCAGACCCTAAAAGAAATGGATAGTGTGCATGCATGTAAGACACTCCCCACTGCAGACCCTATACTAATAAACCAAGCCCTATGCTACCAGTCATTGCGCTATCTTTTACCCAAGTGGTCTATAAGGTCTATAAGGTCAAACAGCCTGCCTGGCTGCAACTCTAGCTGGCTCACTTCTCTGTCTCAATGGCCAACAAGGCCAAACAGTTGCCACCTGTGGCCTTAGCACCACTAGGTTGTACTGATGACATGGATACAGAGAGCCCAGAGGGGCAGGTGAGCGCCCCCTATAAACTCCCTGGTTGCTGGGCGGATTAGAGTCACGTGCCTGTTGCTGGGCGGATTAGAGTCACGTGCCTGTTGCTGGGCGGATTAGAGTCTCATGCCTAACTTTCCCGCCACTGTTTTCCTCCTGATAGGAGATGGTGACCAGGGGACTGGCCGCCATCTTAGAGGGAGAGAAAACAAGATGGAGGACAAAGGAAACAAAATGGAGACCATAGAAAGGAAAACCTCAGCACTCCTCCCCATCCGCATGATCAGCACACTAGGAGACAATGCCAAGGGGATATCTGTGATCCAGCCACTCCCAGGAAGAAGCTCAGATGGCCATTGCCTCTCTGCTGTGCCCTCTCCCTGAGCACAGGGTTTCCCCAGTCCAGCACAGAGTTTGCATTTAAAAACATAAAACATGGAAAATTCAGGGTATGCCAGGGGAGTGACAGCAGCACCCCCGAGGTAGGTTTTCCTGTGACTGATGGATCAGCCCTGGACTTTGGCTTTCTGAAGTGAGTCCTTGTTTACCCAGCTCCCGTTCTGAAAGCGCCTGCTCACCGCGCAAACATTGAGAGGACTGGCAAGCTGAGGGGAAGCAAAGGTCAGCTGCAGGAATGAGAGAGGAAGGGTGGTACTGCAGCTCCCCTGGCAGCAGCACAGGTGAAAGCAAATGGTTGGCAGCTGCAACAGGGTGGGAAGGAAAATGGTGGGGGAGGCCACCACCTGCCGAAAGCTGGGCCTGTAGGTGCTGCTGGCAATAACAACAGGCTGGGCAGAAATCTGCACCCTCCCCATTAAAAGCCCCCAACAGTGCACATTCACTGCAGCACGTGCAGGGTAGCTGCCCCATTGGAGAGGTTATTGTGTCAGCATGTTCTCCTGCCACACTCCTCCCACTGTGCTACATGAGAAGAGGCTCCGCAAGAGCCTCACTGCAGGCTCCAAAGCCCCTGTCCTCTGAGGCCTAGCACTCCAGCACAGGCTGGAGGAGGATGGCTTCAGATTCAGCATGCTCTGAGGCCAACATTGAAGCACTCGTTTCCCAAACCCACTCACCCCTCCCGCCGGCAGTGTGTTCTCCTTCAGCTCCCTCCTGGTGACTCATTTACAGAACTCATGGTTCAGATACATGTGAGCGTGCAGCACGCCGAACGTGGGAATTTGGTTCAGAAAGCTCCCCTCTACTGTGGTATATCTTTGGGTTTGGCACACAAGCAGGGTATTAAATCCATAGATCAGGTCAGTTTTTCATTGCTTTTTCCCATCAAAAACAGGCTGTTTGGCTCTTCTCAGATGCTCTTCATCTAGGGCGCTCCAAGCACTTTACAAACATTGGTTAACCCTCATGCCACCCCATAAGCAGTTAGAATTATCTCCATTTTACAAGTGGGGAGACTGAGGCTCGCATACCCAAAGTTGCACCACACACCAGTGGCAAAGTTTTCTGACTCCTAGTCTCCCCCACTTTACTCACTAGACTACACCCTCTTCCTTCAGAAACATTCATTATGATTGCTGATGTTAATTTAAAAGGTGGTAGGTGAAATGCTTTCCTTAAGCAGACCTCTCCCTCACAGAGCTGCTTTTCAAAGGTCTGATCCAATGCACTTGAACATTTCCATCCTGTGGCCTTTATTCATTCTGTCTCCTTTTCAGTTTGGAAACAGCACTAGTCTCACACAGGCAAACTCACAAATGAAGCCACTTCAGGCATAGTTATGCAGAAGTCCCCCCAGTACTAAACTTAGCAAACCATATGTGGCCGCCTCTTATCAGAGGGTGTGACCGGCCAGCTCCCCAGCCAATCAGAAACAAGTAGTGCTAAATTAATTTTGAAGGCATGAAGCAACTGAACTTGTTTATCACTTTGACATCTGGCACCAGAGCAAAAACTTGCAAACCATAAACAGCCTTCAGAGAAGGAACTTGTGACACAGACAGCTGCCGCCTCACAGCACACAGGCCAGGACTAGTTACACTCCCTGCGAAGGGTACAGAGACTGGATTGGAAGAGAACACAGTAGAAGAGCCATGCTGGGTTTTCAGCGTGCATTCAGGTTGCTTAATGCAACAGTGAGGAAACAGATTGTTCCCAGAGCGAACCTTGCTTTTGGACCACCAGAGGAGATTGTCACTCCAGTTGTGAGTAAACTTTTGTTTGGGGAAAGTGATAATCTCTTTATGTAGCAATTTGGTTTTTGGCCACTCAAAAATGATTAATTGGGATCTGCTCAATTAACAAGTATGTCCAGTGTGTGACATCAAAAAGGGGCTCTGATGGAAAATATAAATAATGCAGGGAGAAATGTAAATACTGATGCTTTTTTAAAAAAAAACAAACAAGAAACTTAAGTTTTCCTTTGGGGTGGGGATAGAAGCAGCTGCGACTCACATTTTGCTGAATTTTATTTGGGTGTGAAAGTAAAACTATGAGGAGGGAAATGGTGAGTTACCCTCAGGAATAAAACCAACCCTTTTCTTGGAAATTGCCAGTCAAGTCACATGATGGATCAGATTTTGCTCTTAGTGACTCCACTGAAAATTCAGTGGGATGGCATGGCCGTAACTGCCATAACTGCCGTTTACTCCCTGATTCCTAGGGCTTATTTTTCTTAATACACTACTTTCTTCTCTTGGCAAATAACAAAGGCCTCTTTTCATCTTGTGCTCACGCCAGTGGGCATGGCAGAGATATTCAGCCTTGGGCGCGAATGCACTGCAGACCTGAGTCTATAATAGGCCACACCACAATCCCACTCCCTATCCCAGGAAGAGTGGGATCCAGACCTGCACGGACTTATCTCTGATCCACTTAAGGCTGTTACAGCCACTAGTGCTGCTCCTGATTTTGATAGGAAATGTTCTTTCCCTGCAGAGGCAAGTCCCTGCTTTCTCAGCTGCTTCATAGTTGGTAAAATGAAGACTCCAAGTCATGTGTGATATTGGAATTAATGGAGCATTGCAGAGTTGCAGGGAGGTGTTACATGGCGCCGTGTGGTGGGTTGGGGACAAACTGTGTGAGGAGACACAAAAATCTGGCTACTTTTAATGCAACTTAAAATATTTGGCAGCTAACAAGTTAAAAAAAAGAAGCCTTCAGAGGCGATGACAGTGGTTAAGTAAGAATCCATTGTTGCTGCAATCTGTTACACGTTCCAGGAAATAGTGGTGATCAGTCACCTACAGGCTGACTTATGGTGTAACAAACAGCCTGTGGCAGAAATTAAATTCTGTTCCTCTTGTTAAAATAACCCAGCCCCCCTCGTTTGCAGAGCCTGCCAGGAGAGCCGTGTTCAGACATGAACGTGGGCGCCTCTTTCCCAATGGGCCAATAATAAAAAGAAACATTTTTAAAACAAAATCGTATGGAAAGATGACACTGTCTCATTCTGGCTTTAAAAACATTCCCTTTGGGGGACAGAACAAAGGTGAGGGTCAGACCACAACCCTTGCAACTCCCAATCCCCCAGGTTGCTCCATGTAGGCAGCTCCCTGCATGTATGCAATGCTCCGTAGAGTCCAATAGCACATATGAAGACCTCTGTAGGATCAGAGTACTTTAGCTCTAGCCCAGAGATCTAGTGACAGGGCATCTGGATGTCTCATGACAGACTGTTTTGTTCTTTGCTTCTCTATACTCTTCGTTTCGTTTGTATTTTAGAGGGCCCTTCTAACCTCACCCTCTCTGTCAGATCATCTCCCCTCATCTCCAACCAAACCCTCCTTTTAATCAAGCCTTTACAATGGGAATTTGTATATGCAACCATCAACATATAGCTGTGCAGAATTCCCTGTTGGGTTCCTGCTTTCCTCTCCTTTTCCAAGCAATGGTATGGGACCTGAGGCACAAGAGAGAATCCAATCCTGGGACGCTGACTTGTTACTTAGTTCCCCATTCCTTTCTCAGGAGTCTCAGACAAGTTGTGCCAGAGTAAGGACTAAATAAAAACTGAGTAAGAACCTCAGATTTTGGTCTGAACTTTTAGTCTATGAATATGATTTGCTCTCAGGAACAGACCACCAAGGGTAATGCAATGCAGCTGTATGTAAAGTGAACTTAAAACTGTTCTCAGACAGTGCAGATAACTTGTAGTTAAAACTTTCTCCAAGGCATTGCTGCCATTCGTGGCACCTCCAAGTGATTTGAAAGTCACACTGACGGCCACTATGCATAATGCGTTCCCGGAAGAACACGGGCAGTGACCTTCTTGCTGAATGTGAGGAGCAGGCAGGCTCATGGCAGTGATTGGTGACCTTGGAAGGCCACAAGCAAGCAGTTACGCCTGGGCTGTTTTGGATATGCCCAACGCCTGGAACCTTGCTGGGATGTTAGAGCAAGCCCTGCCTACATGGAATTGAATTCTGTGGCCCAGGAAATCTTGAACTATGGGAAATAACCAAACCAGAATAGGGAAGCGTGGCTCTTTGCCAGCAGGTGGAGCTGGGAGGAGTCCTAGTTTTCAAAGCAGGTGCTCATGAGCCACGTTGTCCCAAACCACAGCCCAGCTAATGGCAGGGTCTGGGCATGGGAGCTGGGTTACTTTGATTTCTATACCCAAACTCAGATGCAGAAAAACACAAAGGCTATGTCTACATTAGCACCCCTTTCCGAAAAAGGGATGCTAATGAGACAGTCAGAATTGCAAATCCACGGGGGATTTAAATATCCCCCGCGGCATTTGCATGGCTGCTGCTTTTTTCCGGCTTGGGGATAAGCCGGAGAAAAGCGCCAGTCTAGACGCGATTCTCCGGAAAATAAGCCCTTTTCCAGAGGATTTCTTATAAGAAATCCTCCGGAAAAGGGCTTATTTTCCGGAGAATCGCATCTAGACTGGCGCTTTTCTCCGGCTTATCCCCAAGCCGGAAAAAAGCGGCAGCCATGTAAATGCAAATGCAAATGCCGCGGGGGATATTTAAATCCCCCGCAGATTTGCAATTCCAACTCATCTCATTAGCATCCCTTTTCCAGAAAGGGGTGCCAATGTAGACACAGCCAAACATGCAGTGACAAAAATAAATTGACAGATCAAACCACATTTAGACCAGAGCTAGGGGGAAATCAGTGCATCCAAACTTCTGACTGAAGTCAATAGGAGTTTGATATGAACACACGCTGCAGAATGGAGATCTATTGAAAGCAGGTACACAGACATCCCATCTCTATAGAGGCCATGACACATGGAAGGCTGCAGAAAACCCCACATGACTCTTGTTTTTCTCCTATTGGCAGGATCAAGCCATTGCACTGACTGTGATGTTTGCAGTCTTCCTGGTCCCCTCGGGCTGGATTCTGGCGCATCTGGAGGACTACAAGCATAAGCCTAGCGAGTGAGAGACAGGAGGGAGCTGCATCCAGCCTAGTTTAGGATGGGAAAAGGAGAATACTGAACAAGCCCTTTCATGGCAACCTGCCTTTTGAGAATTTAACAATTAAAACACCATGAAAAAAGCAATGGGATGAGCAGGTTTTTATGTGGGGATATGAAGTGTATTGTACATGCTGGTTAGGGCAGATCCTGATCCACACGAGCACAATAAGACCCTGCCCTCTAGGTGCTATTGCAGTACAAATATGCATCTCTTACAGCAAGCTCTGACTAGGGAGTTTTTTATTTCCCCCCTCCCTCCACACACACCCAACTTTACAGTGTAGCCTTAACTCAAGTCCATCAGAAACAAGTTTAGGAAGCAACTTAACACTCAAGTGCATTCAACGTGCCAGCCCAGTCACTAACGTTCAGTAGAGCAGAGATGCTGGCAAGAATCTGCTATATGGCCATTAACTATTCAGTGGGACTAAAAAGCCATTAAGTGGGGGCTGCTTACCAGGGATGTAGTAAGTTCCCCTAACATCTACAGTTCACACTGACCTCAGCTGGTGTTGTAGGTGCTCTGCCTTCCTGAAAAATCCATCCCATTGACCCAGATTCACAGTTACACAGACTCCTAACTTGCACTGAAAATCAATGGACATTATGAGCCTACATACTTGTGTGGATCTGGGCCACATGTCTAGTTTCTCGCCTCTCCCACAAAATAGCTGAAGAGGAATTAGCACCAAGTAAACATAGCCAAGGATACTCCAGGAAAGTGAAAAGGAAAGGTAATTAAAACATCACTTCTATCATTACAACCCAATCACATCCAAATATTTTCTTTAGTGAACATGCCCATGTAGCCTACCAGAGTTAGTTAAAAGTGCCTGGCTCACTAGGCCAGTGGAAAAGCTCCAGTCTGTTTCTGTAGTTCCCCTAACCCTCATATCACACACAACCTAGTACTCTCAACCCTACTAAATAGGCTGTAATGAGGTCTCATGGGCTCCACTCCCCCAAGAGAATCAGGAAACTATTAAGTATTGCAATTAAAACTAATTTGTCAAGTTGATACATTAACTCCGCTTTATTGTGTTTGTTCCATTATTCTCTAATTCGCAGTGGCTCTGTCAGCATGAATTATTGAAGTTTATTAAGACCTCTACTTACCCCAACCCTGAAATAGGACAGAAAACATATTTCTAACCATAGATACCTGCTTCTTATCTCTGCATCAGACTAAACACAAAGTGGCAGTACACATTAAAGGTGTCTTAGGAATGAGATTTGGGAACAATCTTCTGTAGATTAATAACTTGGACAAGGTCTTGGAGCACAAATAGAGGAAGAATGTATAAGGTTGGGAGGAAATGGACCATGACACTTGCAACCACAGAATTATTTCCGTTGCTAAAACAAAGGGGGATTCAGAGACTCTCCAAGTAGCATTCAACAGAGTAGGGCAGCTAGGAAAAATTATGGTAGGTGTGAAAACAAGGGACTAGGTACTGAAATCTTACTATATTTTTTTAGAAATGTGTATTTGTCTGTTCATCCATGAGTCAGTTTGTTCAAGAACACCTCCTAACCAGTAAGAAGTAGTAGGACTACCACATTTGGTATGCAGCTTTCTCTCATCATAACTTAAAGAAAGCTGGTTGTGCCAGAATAATGGGATGTATGTGGAATTCAATTGCTTCTCAAAATGGAAAATGAGGGATGTCAGGCAGGAGTTATACTGCAGAATGACCACAGGGAGGGCAAGAGGCCAGAGATGGGGATCAGGACAGCTATCACCCTATTAGGGCAGCCAGGGGCAGGAGTGGCAAAAAGGACAGCTATCTACTATAATTTCAGAGCGCGTGTCTATCTGCCAGCTGGGACGTGTGCACTCCTGCGCCAGCTGTGCATGCTGGAGCTGCAGTGGCCATGGCCAGATACTTCTCAAGCTGCTGCAGTGAGAAAGAGGCTAGGGTACTCCTCTCTCCCCAAGGCAGCTTGCAGACTGAACCCTCATCCCGAGTCCCACAATGATTTAAATCTGTGGTATCTAACACATGGGTATTTGGCTGACTGAGTATGGCTAGTTCACTATAGCTTCAGAAAGGATTGGACACCACAGATTTAAATGAAGAAAAACAAAACTTGTGAGTTAAGGGCCTGAGCACCATTGGTATATCTTCTAGTTAAACCTATAAAGAAGGAAATGCTTTTTATGCAAGCATTCCCTGCCATGCAAGGTCACTGAACCAAGCTCAGAAGTCAGAGTAAAAAGGGTATATAATTTTATGACCAAACTCAACAGCAGAAACTGGTGTAAGTTGACTACATCTACAAGTCTCTCACCTTCAGATCTTCTCAACCTCTATTCACCATAAGTTGTACTGACAATGTGCACTCTATATTGTGGTGTACTTGTCACAAGTGTAAGGAAAGATTTAAAGAGCATATGCCAAGCTACACAGAAATCCCACGGTATTGACTGAAGACTTTTCCTCAGTGAAGAAATCAGACTGACAAACTGTAGGTGCAAGCACTGGTCAACAGCATGTCAGCTTTCAGTATGAGCCAGTCCTGGGATACTGTCCCAAACACATATTCCAAGCTAACTTTATAAAAAGCTGTCACTATAATTTTAATTTGACAGTCTACTCAATGGATGGGAAAGGGATTCAAGCTGCTGTCCGCAGAGGCAACCATAGAAGTCAGTGCCATGAGATTATGGACCTGCGTGGGTATCATCCTGACTAGTGTTTATGCTCACACACCACATTTTCTTTGGCACTTGCACCATCACAGCCTAGGGCAGCAGGCAGCTATTTCCTCAATGTGGAACCTGGACCCTCAAAAATGCTCTGTTCATTCCTCCAGCTCAAACAGTAGCCGATTCTTTTGCTCTTCTCCAACTTCTCCCAAGAAAAGTGTTGTTTGAAACAGCTTGCTCATAGGCCCCTTTCCTGGCTTTTTCTCCTCGCAGTAAGAAAAATCTACCACCCCCATGAAAGATGCAAGCTGACCATCCTTCTAGTGATACTGTAGAAACACGATAATGTCATTGAACTGAAAGACTATTTCACCAACATAAGAGCCATGGACAGTGCCGGAACACAGAGTCAGATTAAACAAAAGCAATGAGGCTCAAAAACTATATTAGAAAAACTTTCATTGTCTGCAGCTTGGCTCCTCACAGAAAGTTGCTCCTCCACATAAGTAAAGATGACAGTCAGAGATGTTGAGAAATGAATGCCGGCTTTTGGTAGTCATCAATGTACTGATTAGGAATGTAAGTGACTATCTGATAAGCAAAAGCTTACCGGATTGTCGACTAGTCCCTCCCCTTGCTCTATCAGAGGCGGCAGCAAATGGGGGGAGATGGTGCTGCGGGGGAAGCCAGCTTAAAAGCCAGTTCCCCCCCAGCACCATCTCTGGAGAGGGGGGGGAAGCAGGAGCGGCAGGTGATAGCAGGGACCAGGCCCTGTGCCTGATGGCTCTTAATACATTTAAAAATCAGAGGCACAGCAGAGGCATAGAGGGGGAGAGGAGAACCCAGTGCAAGCTGGAACAGCTGATTCT